TGAACAAGAAGCCAGTTCTTCGTACTCTTCCACAGAGAACTTCTCGTAAAATTCAATATGGACACGTCACCTATGTCAAAAAGTGATACGCGACAATACTACGCATGCTCGGCAACAAAAACGGACTGTTGATAAATTACATTTTCTCTTAGTCTCCACTGAAAGGATATTTTTGTCTCTCCACTTTAGTGCTTGAGGCTAAACAGAAACTGTGATAACTTCTGTAAATACCTACAGTACTGTAAGACTGTACATTGTTAAGATATCTTTTCAAATCATGTCCCACAGTTACATTATCTCAAAATCAATACTGACAACTAATCTCACTCAAGAAAACAATCAATCAATCAATCAATCAATCAATAAAATGGAATAAAATAAAAAAAAGTGCGTCACTCACTGATAAGGAAGAAGAGTCTGATAATATACTTCATAGAAAAGCCAGGTTGTACACTTCTTTTTCACTTTTTTTTTTCACTTTTTCACATTTTCAAACCTTAAAAGCAGATGTTCCTTTGCCTCCCATCACCTCTGATTCCGTCTGACAGAAGATCTCCTGAGACATAAGCTGGCTGTGCCACCTTGTCAAATTTGCGATGTCTGGATCTGTGTAACCAAGAGACTTAAGCCAAGTTCAGACGCCGTACTTCACATGAGCCGAATCCAATGCAAATGAGAAAAATCCTTTGTTCTCCCTCATTAGCATTCGATGCGGCTCATGTGAGGTACGGCGTCTGAACCGGGCATTACTTAGTGACTTCATTCCTGTTTCAAAGAAAGAAAACTGCAATCATTACAATCTCGTTCTCTAAGAGTCGATAACAATACAAATATCTCAGGACTGATTGAAGCAAAAGTGCCATATTAAAGAAGATATATTTTTTTAATCCACCTCCTCTGATGAAGCCTCATGTCCTTCTTCTTGATGAGATGAGATGAGATGATTGTGAACCGAGAAAAGAAGAAATAAAGAATTAAACAGTTAAACAAAATGCGGTTAATTATGTCCCACGATCATCAGCAATGGTCCCACATCTAATTGTAGCAGAATCATCTACAAACTAGAGGTACCAATATGGAACTTCTTGGAGTTTAGATGGTTAGAATTTACTCTTTGTTTGAATTACAAACTTTCTTGTTAAAATAACGTTTGTTTTAGGTGTTTCCCTTTAATTTCTTTTATTTTGTGTGTAAGCACAGAAGAAGCACTTTAGAACCAAATTTAGGTTCTATTACTGCAATTTGTTTTGCTGTGATTCATTTATTGTTCTTCTAATCAATTAATGATTCTTATTCTTTGTTCGTTTTTGTACCATGTTCGTCTTCAATAATTTCGCCTGGGTTTGAGCTCGGCACAGCTTGTGTTCCAGACCTTGCCAACAGTGCCTCCTGTAACAAAACAGATAATTTTGTACCGGCCTAAGCAATGAGCGAAAATTCAACTAAAGGTAATGTAAATCTGATCTTAATGCAATACCACACTTGAAAGTTACGTGTAGCATCAAAACGTTTCCACAGCGATTCTGTGCATAAAAAATCTTGAATACTTCCCAGCGCCGTTAGAGTTATACTGGTTTGACCATCATCCCAAAAGAAATACAAGAATGTGAACAAGAAGCCAGTTCTTCGTACTCTTCCACAGAGAACTTCTCGTAAAATTCAATATGGACACGTCACCTATGTCAAAAAGTGATACGCGACAATACTACGCATGCTCGGCAACAAAAACGGACTGTTGATAAATTACATTTTCTCTTAGTCTCCACTGAAAGGATATTTTTGTCTCTCCACTTTAGTGCTTGAGGCTAAACAGAAACTGTGATAACTTCTGTAAATACCTACAGTACTGTAAGACTGTACATTGTTAAGATATCTTTTCAAATCATGTCCCACAGTTACATTATCTCAAAATCAATACTGACAACTAATCTCACTCAATACATCAATCAATCAATCAATCAATCAATCAATCAATAAAATGGAATAAATATAAAAAAAAAGTGCGTCACTCACTGATAAGGAAGAAGAGTCTGATAATATACTTCATAGAAAAGCCGGGTTGTACACTTCTTTTTCACTTTTTTTTTTTCACTTTTTCACATTTTCAAACCTTAAAAGCAGATGTTCCTTTGCCTTCCATCACCTCTGATTCCGTCTGACAGAAGACCCCCTGAGACATAAGCTGGCTGTGCCACCTTGTCAAATTTGTGATGTCTAGATCTGTGTAACCAAGATATTTAGGCCAAGTTCAGACGCCGTACTTCACATGAGCTGAATCGAATGCAAACGAGAAAAATCCTTTGTTCTCCGTCATTAGCATTCGATGCGGCTCATGTGAGGTACGGCCTCTGAACCGGGCATTACTTAGCAAACCATATCTTGATGCTTTCCGACATTACTGGCTGGTGGAAGTAGCCAGCGAAAGAAGTTCTATGGAAGAGTACATACAAAGGGTCTTTAGTTGTCATTTCGTAGGTCAGTAGGAACTGGTAGGAGATTTATCCCATGCGACAAGTATGCAGATGTTATGTTTGGGCAAATGCTAACACAGGCCTGATATAGGTAGAGGGAAATGTGAATAGAAAAAAACAAACAAACAAACAAACATAAAAACAGAAACAAACAAGCAAAAAAACATACAAACAACAAACAATACCAGAGAAATTCAAGTCCTTGATGAACAGCGGATGAAGTGAGCCCCAAAGAATAACATCAGCTAAACCAAGCTTATCCTAGAGAGCAAAAAAACAGAGGGGCGTCAATGTGAACTGGAAAATTGTCAGCTATTTTATTCCAAAATTATGTTTTCAGAAGGGAAAATGTTTTACTCCAATCAGCGAGAGATATGGCCATGCAAACGTGCTAAGATAGGTTCTGAGTACTTATTAAAAAATCATACCCCAGAAAAATACTTGTTTGAAGACAGAGCTTGATCTGCATGCCTCAGAAGCTTCACCAGATCCTCAACATGACCGCTGTCACGGTTTTGTCTTCCCAAGCCAATATACTTCACAAGATGATTGAAGAGGACAGGCTGCAAGAATTAAGATTCATGTCAGCTAGTCATCAACTGTTAGAAATGCAACAACTGAAAAATTGTTCTGATCAGACTGATACAAGCTAACTAAGCCAAAATTCCAAAAACACTCTCCCAAATATAATTTACAGACTACAGCAATTTCATCTTTTTAAACAACTGGCCTGCAAAGACTTGCTCTCCCACTCCACCCACTGATCAACAACTGCTTCCTTGTAAGGGTCAGGAACGTCATCAGAGCTTCTGTTCAGGTTAAGAAGGTATCTGTGCCAAAAAAAAAAAAAGAAAAAGATTCTCATTGATACGTCTTAGAGAAATAAATTATTTCCAAGTAAAAACATTTGCAATTTGGAACTGCACTGCTTTTTACTGTGCAGCTTATACGCTTCAACCTGGGCCAATGTTTTCTTGTTAAGGTGGTTCAAGACAGTTTCCTTATTTTTTATTACTAATTCTTTGATTGATCGATGCTACAACACTTTTTCAACACTGTTTTAAAATTCTGTGGAGTAGGTTCAGAGCCACCTCAATTAAGCATAAAAATTAAGGTGGCTCTGAACCTACTCCACAGAATTGTTTTTAACTTTGCAAAAAGATAAATGTTGATATGGTGATTGTAGCTTTATGATATGCTGATTGTAATTCTATGATAAAAGTAGAGGTCACTGAACTTGTTTTAGAGCTACAGGCACATAAAACTAAAATTAAAGGTGTGCTGCAATTAAAGGATACTATAGTGCTGCTGTGGTAACCTTTTATGGTATAAAAATGATCAAAACTTATTGAGTAATAAATGGGCATTTGTTTGATACCATTTCCAAGGATGCAATTAAACAGTTTGGAAGCATCAATCCATCAAATGGTTTGGGCCACCTCAACTTGGAGTAGAATGAGATCAAAAGGTCATAGGCTTCCTACAAAAGAGCATGTTAACAGCCATCGCATAAGGAATCCTCTCGAGCTCGGTTTCCCTGCATCATTTATACTTTCAGCAAGCTCGGAAGGAAATATGAGACATCTGTTTGTAGGCCACTGAATGAGGTTTCTAAAGTACTGATGCAAAGTCAGATTGTGCAAATGGGAAGCGAACTTCCGCTATTTGGGTATCTTAGAATAAAGCGCCATTGGTGCCACTATAATTCCAGGTTCTCAGTGGTAGTAATATCGGAGTCAAACAAATACCACTTCATCCGTGGGTCTTTATTTCACTATTTTAACCTCTTCAATACACAAAGCGGAGCAAAGTGGAGCTTTGTGTATTGGGAAGGTTAAAACAGTGGAATAAAGGCCCACGGATGAAGGCGTATTTGTTTGACTCCGATATTACTACTTCAGTTGTAATCAAAACTCAAGGGGCTGGAAATCTGTAGGATACCTACCTTCGTATGCCATTACGAGGAAAATTAAATATAAGATGGCGCCTTTTTCTTGTAGGTCATATTTTTGTAAGGTTTTAGTTTCTGTAACATCCTTGATAAGCCCGTGGCATGTGGTTCATCTTACGCTGTTTCATATTACCGTCTCCATTGGTTCTTTCCTTCTTAATGTCAATGCCACCGTCAAACGAATGAACACCAACACTCAAAAAAGGTTCAATCAAGATCATAAAACAGGTGATATGACATGTTGATGAATATACAAATGATAATGAAAATGTACCTGCAAATGCTGTTTGGACTGTTTAATAAATTTCCCCTGTCTGTCTCAAGCACTGGAAGCTATTGAATACGAGTGAGAAAAACAAAGTGCTATTAATGATTCAATATCAAGTGATTACACAGCCAAGATTCCTAAACTCCTCCGGTCTAGTCCAGCCCAGTCATGTAGTCATCTCAATTCAAGCCAATGCATGGCAGAACATTCAGCAGTTACGACATTTGTGTATTATCTGAATTATTAGA